ACTGTAGTCCTGCTTTGTACCTACTACTGTAGTCCTGCTTTGTACCTACTGCTTTGTACCTGCTACTGTAGTCCTGCTTTGTACCTACTACTGTAGTCCTGCTTTGTACCTACTGCTTTGTACCTACTGTAGTCCTGCTTGTACCTACTACTGTAGTCCTACTTTGTATCTCCTGTAGTCCTGCTTTTATAGCTTCCGTAGTCTTGCTTTCTAYCTGTCAAGGCTCTGATTTGTACCTGTTGAAGCCCTGTTTTGTACCTATTTATACCGTGTTTTGTACCCACCTAGGCCCAGCTTCGGATCTGCCAGAGCCCTGCCTCACAACTTCCTACTCCCTTCTCTGTACGTTCTTTGGTCTGCTTTGTATCAGTTTAGGCCCTGCTTGCACACACTGGAGCTCTGCCCAAGCTCCTATGCACTTTACCTACCTGGGTCTGATAGTTATGGTAATTTTCCACAACCACCACATATGAACATATTGGTGTCTGTTGCACAGACAAGGAGTCATTGACACCTGATGGCATATTGGCTTTTTAAGGGGTATTCCATGTTGCACAGGAATATTGTAAGTGCTGCTCTTCGTAACTTTGAATTATGAGCTGTGAGGTAGGGATAATGCAGTGAAATGGGATTTGACCTCACTAACCCATTTAGTATCTATCTTTTACCCTGCAGAGGATTTTTTCTTTATATTCAGTCAGCGTTACATGAATTTTTCTCCATGTTTTCCAGGAGGCTTTTCTGTTTATTGATTTTCATTTCAGCGATGGCAGAGCCACGGTTAGTCTACCAGCCATAAAGTTTAATCAAAGTAAGTTCAAGAATTGACGTTAAATGTCAGAACAAATGCTTGGAAGATACATTAATTATTGATCCTCGCTGCAATTAGTGAACAGCTTCATCACTGGAGTTGATCGTCTGTAAAATGGCCGTACCAGCCAGTAGCTTTTTTTGTTTCTTTATACTTTTCATCTGAATTTGGACTTTTCACTCCTTGCTTTTTATCTATTCTAGTGTTGATTCACCAAGAATATTCTTATTTTTTTATTCTTGATACAATGTAAGAAAAGGATGCTTTGGCCTTTGGACATTGCTTTAAATAATTTAGAATTTATTTTCTTCTTTTTGCCCGTTTTTTATGTGTTTGTGTGTTCTCACTGTAAAGTTTAAATAAATAAAAGAGACTGTCAGAGAAAATACACGTTGAAAAACAAGAACAAAGTAAAATATAGATAAAAATTTAATTCACATGACAAAATATACAAGCACAAATCTACTGGTATCCCTGAAAACTAGCTGAGTATTAAAAACTGCTTACAAAACTGTTGTGCATTATTATATGTTCATGAATCTTTGCCACAAACTCTTCCTCAACAACTGAGATTGTTGCCTTTCAGTAGAAAAATTCATTCCTCACCATCTTTTAATGAGACACCAGCGTAGTGAAAGCTGTCACTACCTGATGTCAGTCACTGCCTGATAGGTGAGCTAAAAAATAAAATCAGATACTTTTTTAGCTGCTGAGGTGCATTGCTGTCGTGCACTTAGTGTCCAAAAACTAYGAACCAGTTTTTATGAGAATTTCTGTTAAAATCATTGATTACTGAGGTTGAGCAGCTGGTTTTTGTTTTCATAGCTGTTGCCAATATTTAGTTCAAAGTTAAAGTACTTTAACCCTCCTGCTGCCTTTAAGTCAAAATGACCAACATCTGGCCTCATGGGTCATTTTGACCAAAGGAGGGTTAATTTAGATCATCCACAGTAAACTAAGGGTGTATTCACACCAACCCTGTTTATTTCGCTTTAATCAAACTCTACTTTGTTTGCCTGGAAAGTCCGGTTCATTTGGGGAGGTGTGAACGCATAATCGAACTCTGATTTGGACCAAAAAAAGCTAACTCTAAACTTAGGTCTTGGTTCGGTTGAAATGAACTCTGGTGAGGTTTGATTGCGTGCAAGCAGGCTGGAGACCGCTCCAAAAGCAGAAAGTGGACTCTAACACAGGTCATTCTGAGTATTAATAGTAAAAAAGTTACTCATATCTTGTAAATACCTTGCTCAATGACTGTATAAGRTGAACATCACTGCTGTGAAGTTGGATGAACTCCTACTTAGTGAACGCTGCCTCACATGGAGCCGATCTTTGCCAAAACCAAAAAATAAATCCTACAACCACTAAAATTTGACATCACTCCATGTTTGTGAAGAAGGTATTTGTGCTTCTTGTCGTCTTCTAAGGTTTTCATGTCGATTGTTTCAGTGGGTCTTGGTGCAGCACCACCACAGGCGAGGTGGGGAACAGGTTGTTCACAGAGTTTAGTTCATTTGACCCAAGTGCAGAGTGAACGTGAACTGCACCAACTGAAAATGTATACAAATCTTGCAATTTTGGTCCTCAATCAAACYGAGTCTACAGGACTATCAGGTGTGAATACGACCTAAATGAGGCAGATGTGTTGTACCAAATTTAGCTAATGGTTAATTTCCATTTAAAGGGATCTTCGACTACTGTCACAAGTTGGCCTTAGCATGCTGTCATTTATCTGTTCTAATTTGTGACACATGAAAACTCCTAATTACTAAAATAAACTGTATATGTTTATTACATTTTTTACACAATGCCATTTTAGTACTGACACAACACATTCTGGGGATGATGATGATAGTTACCACTGAGACTAAAACACAGAGTCAAGACAAAAAGCTAAAACATGTGACAATAAAGTGTATTATTGATTAGTCTCAATGTTCTACACCAGTGGTTCCCAAACTTTTTGTCTTCTGACCCACAAAATATTCATGGCAAAAACTTGTGACCCCAATTACTACTGGTCTGAGTACACAAACTTTGTTAATAACCCTAAAA